CAAAGCCCCAGTAGATAGTTGTATGTCATAGCTGCACATCCTTCTAGTTGCTGTACGTGGGACGCGGCCTCAGCATGGCCAGAGAAGCAGTGCATCGGTGCGCGCCCGGGATCCGAACCCGGGCCGCCAGTAGCGGAGTGCGCGCACTTAACCGCTAAGCCACGGGGCCGGCCCTAAAGGACTTTTAAATGTCTTGTATCAAAGGATCTCTTAATGGCAGAGGACCGTGAACCATGGGAAGTCTGGGCCTATAGTACAAGCACATCTTTTTTAAAATCTTGTCTTATTCTCAATGTTTTATATGCTATTCTATAGCATACTTGTTTCTATATGAAAATTTAAAAATCAGTATTAAGCAAAATTGATTCTCCACACAGTTCTTCATGTTTTTATGTTGACTTTCTTATGGCACAGAGCTGGATGTACAAATACTGTGATTTTGGGAAGTACAGTCACACAAAAAACCAAAACTTGCTACATATAAGAATAAAGGCTAGAGTATACCAAACTTAAGAAGTTGTTAGTGGGGTAGTCATTGAAGGCAAAATAATGCCGTTTTGAATTTCTTATATATTTTGTTTTGTAAAAAGCCATTTGGCTTATGAAATGTTGAAATGCCTTATAAAGAAAGTTAGGGGCTAGGTTATAAGTTATGATGATCATTATGTACGTGTACTTATTTTAGAAATACCTCATTTCCTAGCCAGCCAGTGAAATGCTTTATAACATCTCTGACTTGGAGCTTTATCTTTAGAGCAGTTGAACAGCAGATGGATGACAGTTCAGTCCCGATTGGCATGCTGCCCAAAATAAAAGAAGAAACTCAGCATCTGAAGCCTACACACTTAGAGTATTTCAGTCTTTGGTGTCTAATGTTAACCCTGGAGTCACAATCAAAGGATGATAAAAAGAATCACCAAAATATATGGTTAATGCCTGCTTCAGAAATGTAAGTGATCCATTTAATACGTAATAGAACTTCAGTAATTCGGATTAGTTAATGGGATGGCATTTGGAATTCATGACAAATACAGGTAATGTAGCAAGTTAAAGACATGCCTTTCATTTATTCATGTCAACTCCAGATGTCTGTCAATGAATTGTTTCGAAGTGGAGCATCACTGTTAGTTATTTTCAGTAGGTTAGATATGCCTCAAGAAATTTTATTTTAAAAATTATTAGTAAATCCTTTTTCATCAGTGAAAAGAATATAAACTTGAGTATATCATAAGGTGAATTTTAGCATATTGGTAGAGTGCAAATTAATGAAGTTTTAATCATTTAAATACTAGTATTTTAAAAGTTTATGTTTTTAGTAAGTTTTGATACAGATTCAAATTTTCTGAAGTTGGTCAGTCTTGTATTTTGTGAGATCTATTTTTTTTTTTATTGCGGTAACATTGGTTTATAACATT